CGCGCGCACCCCGCCCGGGTCCGAAGGACTCCCGCGCACGCGCGCCCCGGGCCGCTCCCGCCATCCCGCCTAACGTGGCCGGCTCGCGTCCCGGCGGTTCCAGTGACAGGTACTCCGGAGGGGGCTGTAGCACAGTGCGCAGGCGCACACGCAGCCTCCTCCTCCTCCTCCTCCTCCTCCCTCTCCCCCTCCCCCAACCCCCGCAAGGTGCGCCCGAGGGGGCCGGGAGGGGCCACTGGCCCAACTCCGGGGTCACGCAGAATCGCCCACAAAAAAGCCTCCCAGTAGTCAAGCAGCTTAGCGGCGTAGGAGGGGGCTGTAGCACAGTGCGCAGGCGCACACGCAGCCTCCTCCTCCTCCTCCTCCTCCTCCCTCTCCCCCTCCCCCAACCCCCGCAAGGTGCGCCCGAGGGGGCCGGGAGGGGCCACTGGCCCAACTCCGGGGTCACGCAGAATCGCCCACAAAAAAGCCTCCCAGTAGTCAAGCAGCTCGGAAGATAGCGGCGTACAAAGGAGGAAAGCACTTTTCAGATACGCCCGCGAGAGGAAGGTCGGAGATAAGACCATTCAATTCCCTAAATTAGTATCTTCATACACCAATTGTCTTTTCTTTCTCCTCGAGCCCAGGGTTTGTGTTCCCATTACAATTCCATTTCTAAATTTGAACTTGGTTCCAAGAACCTACTTAGTTTTGATAGAAATTCACTTGGGTGAAACTAGGCTTAAAGTGGGGACAAAACAAAAACAGGAAAACAGTCTTTCCCCTCCCTTTCTAGCCCAACTCATTTAAAGCCTTTCCCAACTGTTTTCTTCCTGACTCCTAGAAAAGACGAAGGAAGAAAAGGCAGGAAACGGTTCTGACCCAGAGGCCTGGGGGATACCCCCTATTTTAAGGAAGCCCCAAGGAGGACCTATGGCGGCACAATCACATCCGATCATTTTTCAGCTCCAAAATGCAAATGAATGCAAATGTAAAAAAGGACTATTGCAAGTTGACTCGCACACAAGGGCCAAGTTGGTTGGTTGGTTTTTCAAGCTGGCCTCATTGTATCCAAAATGGAAAAACATACCAAGAAAAGCATTCAATAGATGTATTTCCTAAATCAAAAGGACAAGGGGAAGCAAAAAAAAAAAAAGCCTGACCCGGAACTGATGAGCAAGGCCAGGAGATCCTTCAGAAATAGGAAGAAGAATTTGAGAAGACACAGGGGAGAATCTGCCTGCTAGGTTTTGCTGTCATTTTCGATGTAACTACCAACCCACATATGATCTGGTTAGTCTTTTTTTTTTGAGGAAGTGAATCAATTACATACTATTGATTAGTATCTCTACTAGTAGATCCTTAAGCCAGCACTATTTTTCATTCAAGTACAAAGGATATTGATCATTTTCAGTACTGGGGTTCCCTTTCTCAGTACACATTAATATCTTTCTTTAAAGTTTTTGTTTAGAAACTCACAAATATTCACGCCCTAAACACACCGGCTCAAAAAGACATATTCTTCATGATGAGAAACTTCAATTCACTTTATCAAAACGAATGCTGGGGGGAGCTTTCTTAAAAAACAAACAAACAAAAAAAAAACTATGGGCAAGAAAGTAGGTGAAGGTTGAGGTTAAACTAAGTGGAGCCTCAGACTATATGTTAATGGACAACCTTTGAGCCCTGGGACCTTGAATGCTCTAAACACAATAGGGATGATAGTTAAAAACCCTGGTCAGATGGAACAAAAAAGATCGGTCCAAACTTCAGTAGGAATAGGCCAACAATAAAATATTTTGACAAATAATCATTTTTCTAAGAACAATGGGACTCTGAGACCTCGTTGCTACATATTTTCGGAGCAAAGGGAAATAAGGAGAAGGAGGATGTTTTTCTCTATCCCTTACCCTTACAAAGCCACCACCACTCTGTTTCGCATTTTGGCATCATATGGCTTTTACTGTTTCTCCTCCCTCTGCTCTCCCCTCCCCCAAAAAAGGAAATTTTTTTAAAAAACTTACTACGTTGAAGCTTTTAAAATTGAAAGAGAATTGCCTTTCCTGGTCTGTCTGCTAAGAGATTTGTATGTGAGGCTGATGTCTGAGCAAAGAACTACAAAGAACCTTCACTCCTGGAGACGTGCCAAAAAAACTGGGAAATCGTTGCAAAATTCTGCCAGTGACTGACTGCTGGGGTTGCAAATACATACCGTGTTTTCCAAAGGACGTGGAGGGATCGGAATTCCTGCCTTAGAATGCAGAGGCTCGTGCCTCGCGTTTATTTGGAAAGCGTGTGTTGGTCACAGGAGAACCCTAGGAACGCTTGGTTTCGTAATAAGAGCTAAGAACTCCCCATTCCTGGGCGAAGCGAAAACTGAAAACCGAACGTTGGTCTCCAAGGCCTTGGCTCCGCCTACGCGGAATCCTGCTTCGCCATCACTCCAGGCTGGGCCACCTCTACAGGAATCAGGTGCTACAACGCCGGCCACAAAAACAAAGAGGGGAGCCCCGCACCCAGGTCCCTGCCGTTGGGGGTCCCCGGCTCTGCACGTGTCGCCAGAATCAAGCCCCACTTCTCCTGAAGGCTACAAACCTCAGCTGCATCTTTTTCACAATGACCCAAACAGGCCCTCCTCCTCAAGACATGTTTCCGAATGTGCACTTACAAAATCACCCCATTATCTCCGCTTTAATCCGGGTGCTGACAGACCTCTTCCGAAGCCAACATATGACTTTCTATCCAGATCATCCATGCCCTGGTATTCTCAAATCTAACAAAACAAGCCTGATTCGCCGCATATAATATTTACAGGAGTTATCTTTTTGCTACTTAATTAGAAGATTAGGATAGTCTTTTCCCCCAGTATTAATTTCACTATGGAACTATTACAGAAAAGCAATTTGGAAACGAAGTCTCTGGAGCTGTAGCAGAACCCATGTACAGAAGAGGTCAAAGAATTCAGTGTTCAGAGCAGGAAAACCTGAAAAACTGCAGGGAGCAGTTTGCAGGAAACAGAAAAAAGTTTGTCAGACCCGCGTTTACAAACTACAAAGGACATTTGCGAAGGAGGCAGGGACTGCCCTCTCACCAAGACAGAAAGCACAACTTTAAGGAGGGTCAGTAAACAAGCCCCAGGGAGCACCACACTTTTCTAACTTTCTCAGTCCCACTAAAGCCATGACTTTCAAGCCTCCTGTAAACTACATGAGAAGAACTGATAACAGAAATTACCGTTCCGAGGAGAAGGCAGTGCAGAAACCTAGGAATTCTAGGAGGCTGCCAGTCCACCTGGCCCGGAACAATACTGGAAGAGATGTGATTGCTGGTTTTTACAAGCAAACCAAAAAGGGAGGGGCCAAGCATAAAGCTCAATTTAAATGGACAGTGAGATATAATCCGACTTGACTGAATAAATCAACCTTGATTAGGTTAAGAACGCCATTTAATTTTAGAGACCTCTGTTCTCTTGGCAAGTTTGTTTCCCCCTGCAAGCTCAGCCATGTCTTCCGCTAATATTCCGGACAGTTTTCCAAGGTGGCCTTCCCTCAAAATAGTCATGTAAGTTTCCCTAAAGATTCACACATATAACATACCATAACATACCTAGGAAAGCCCCTTCTCTAAACTTCCTCCGTTCAACAGGTACTGTTTCCAGCGGGGAGTCTGGGGATGAGAGGAGGCAGGAGACAGTAATCACTTAAGACCATCAAGACCAGAAAAGAGAATAATTTTCTATCCACATACTCAAACCAAAACCCTTTGAAGGCAGGAGGATTAAGGCCAGCCTGGGCTATGTGAGACCCTGCCTCAAAAAAAAAAAAGAAGAAAACATGGGACTGGGAATGCAGTTGAGTTGGCAGACGGTCTAGTGCAGGAAGCCCTGGGTTGGAGTCCCACACCACATAAACAAGGGTGTGGTGGTGCATGGCTGTAATCCCAGCTCTAGGGAGGTAGAAGCAGAAAGATCAGAGGTTCGAATTCATCCTCAAGCCAGCTGGCTATATGCTGAGTCGACCCAAAATAGTAATGATAATAATAATGATGATGATAATAATAATAGTCTTAAAGCTGCAGGGGTATTCTAAGTTACTCCTCGGTCTATTGCCCCTTGAAGTATACTTAATAAACTTTTCTTCCCCTAAATAATTATTTTTATAAGTATGTGTGTTTTACCTGCATGTATATAAGTGCACTCTTGCATTCAGTACGGTCAGAATTCAGAAAAGGGTGTCAGATGCCCTGGAATTGTAGTTATGGATGGTTATTAGCCACCATGTGGATGCTGGGAACTGAAACCAGGTCTTCTGCAAGAGAAGCCAGTGTTCTTATGTGCTGAACCATCTCTCTAGCTCCCAACAATAAAGAAACTAAGAACAAAGAATTGTGTGTGTGTGTGTGTGTGTGTGTGTGTGTTTATTGGCCTTTTTGAGATAGGATCTCCCTGTAACCCCAGCTGGCCTGGAACTCACTATGTAGACCAGGCTGGCCTTGAACTCACAGAGATCAGCCTGCCTCTGCCTCTGCCTCCCGAGTGCTGGGATTAAAGGCATGGGCCACCACAGCCGGCTCAAGCCCTATTATATTTCATACACACATACAAGCATCAACAAATACTATATTTTCTCCCTTACTCTCAACTTTGGAGCTAGGGATATAGCTCTGTGGTAGAGCACTTGCCTAGCATACAAAAGGCCCCAAATTCAATCCCAAGTACCAGAAAAAAAAAAATTTAAATCTCAACTTTGTCTCCTTACCTCTGTCCCTAAGCCATAGACTGGTGTAAGGCCCCACAGCACCCTCCTCTAGTCACACAGTCAGCACCCACTGGTTTCCCTGCTTCTCTCTAGCTCGGCTTCCTATGCTCTCCTCCTATAACAGCATCTCTCACAGTGGAAGGCAGATCAAGTGACTGCCCTACTCAATGGCTTCCTATTGCCTTGGGGAAAAAAAGAGTCTCCTTAGCTTGGCTGGCCAGCCCTGGGGTCTGGTCCCTGCCTAACTCTGCAGTTTCAAGTCTTGGAAGGTCCCCAACTTCCAGTCCTGCACATCAGCCAGCAGCCTCCTCAGACTAGTGCCTTCAGCCTGTCCTGCCTCTGTCACCATCCATTCTCACACCAAGATACCAAGCTACGGTGGCTTGGATAAGCACCTCTCCAATTATCGTGGCTCAAATATTCACCACACTTAAGAGTTATATAACCTTAGAATATTACTTAAAATTCAATTTCCTTATCTAGAAAAGGAGGTGATAAGCCCAGGTTGGAGGCTCCAGTTTATAATCCCAGCTACTCAGAAGAAGGCTGATGCAGGAGGATCACAAATTCAAAACCAACTTAGGCTCAAAATGAATAAAGTATGATATGGCAAGCCTATAATCCCAGCATTGGAGAGGTGCAGTCAGAGGATCAAAAGCTCAAGGGAAGCCTCAGTTACAGAGGGACTTCTAGGCCAACCTGGCTCCATGAATTTTGGTCTCAAAAGAAAAATAAATAAATAAATAAATAAACCAAGTATAAAGTTGGATGCCCATAATCCCAGCACTCATGAGGATGAGGCAAGAGGATCAGTTCAAGGCTAGCCTGGACTACAAGAGACTCTGTCTCAAAACAAAACCGGCTGGGGTCAATGGTAAAATATTTCCCTAACATTCAAGAGGCCCAAGGTTCCATTCCAGTACTTCAAAAAGAACAAAACCAAAGAGGGCGGAGCATGACAAAATAATGGTAATACAATTATTACTACTAGGGAGGCTTGCTGGGCAAAGCCTAGCAGGCCAGGGCTGTGGGTGCCCAACAGTGGCTGTAACTAGACAGCAGAACAGCAGCAGAACAAATGAGCCCGGGTCCACTGAGGCTTACCTTCTGAGACCAACAGCAGCTTATTTACAACACAAGGGGTCTAGAGGAGGGAAGGTGCTTGCTGTAGCGGACCAGCTCCCTACTTAAGTGATCCACCCTACCCAAAGAAAGTTGTGATGTGGCCAGGTCTGATGGCACATCCTGTAATCCCACAATTCAAGAGGTTATAGCAGAAGGATTAGGCGTTCCATCCTAGCCTGGGCTACACAGCAACACTGTTTCATTAGACATAAAAATTATTAATTGGGGCTGGAGAGATGACTCAGTGGTTTAAGAACACTGGTTGTTCTTGCAGAAGACCCGGATTCAAATCTCAGCATCCACACGGCACCTAACAACTGTCCATAACTCCAGTTCCAACCTCTTCTGACCTCCACAGGCACTGCACGACACTGGCGCACTTATACACATGCAGACAATACATGCATACACATAAAAATAAAATTTAAAAATATAAATTAATTGGAGCTGGAGATGTAGCTCAATCAGTAAAGTACCTAGCAGTACCTATGAAGCCCTGGGTCTGACCCCCCAGCACTGAATTAACAGGGCATGATGACTCATGCTGATAATCCTGGCACTAGGAAGATGGAGACAGGAAGACCAGAAGTTCAAGGTCATGTTCTGCTCCATAAGGAGTTCTAGGCCACTCTGGGCTGTAGACGCTATCTCAGAAAATAATTAACAAATAAAAATGGAGTTGAAACCCTCTTGGGCCTCTGCCCTCCTGACTCCCCTTCAGTCCTCACTGGCTGCTGCCCTTCAGCCCTTTACTAGCCCCCTCCTCTCCTTGATTCCCCAACGCCCAGGGCTGGCACCCCTCCTTTATGCAGGTCATTTCCTCCATTCCCACAAGTCAAAATAACCCTCTATACTAAAGGCCTATCACATATCTCACCCAGAACACTCCTATCCCTCACAAATGTACTTGTAACTGCTGGCTCTAAGTCTAGTCCCTGCCTTTACAGTAGTAGCCCCTTTGACAGAAGACAGCCCCATCTCTGAGTAGTCACACTGATCTCAAAATTCAAATCTGGTGAAGCCAGGCGTGGTGGTACACGCCTGCAGTCCCAGCACTTGGAAGACAGAGGCAGGTGAATCTCTGTGAATTCAAGGCCAGCTGGGGCTACGGGAAGACCCTGTTTCAAAAAGACCAAAAGAAAAAAAAAAATTCAAGTCTGGTAATACCACAGCCCAGCCTAAAATCCCCACATCTCTTAGAATAAAAACAAAATTCCCATCAAGGTGTGGTGGCTCATGCCTTTAATCCCAGCACTCAGGAGGCAGAGGCAGGTGGATCTCTGTGAGTTCCAGGCCACCTTGTCTAAATGGCCAGTTCTAGGCCAGCTGGGGCTACAGGAAGATTCTATCTCTCTTTAAGACAAAAACTAAAGAAAATTTTTTTCAAAAATTAAGAAGCCAGGCATGGTAGTACACGCCTTTAGATGCAGCACTTGGGAGGCAGAGGCAGGCAGATCTCTGTGAGTTCAAGGTCAGCCTGGTCTCCAAAGCGAATTGGCCAGCTGTGGGCTACAGGGAGACCCTGTCTCAAAAAGACCAAAAAAATATATAAAAAATTTCCCATAGTAGCTGGCAAGATCTGGTGGACTCTGTAAGATTTAGGGCTTTCAGGGACTCTTGTTGCTCTTACAGAGGACCAGAGTCCCAGCATCCCATGTCAAGTGGCTCACAATGGCCTCTAAGTCCAGCTCCAGTGGACCAACACCCTCTTCTGACCTCTGGGGGCACCTGGACACACACATACACAGAAGTAAAAATATAAATCTTTTTTTTTTGTCTTTTTAAGACAGGGTCTCCCTGTAGTCCCAGCTGACCTGAACTCACTATGTAGACCAGGCTGGCGTTGAACTCACAGTGATTCGCCTGCCTCTGCTTCCCAAGTGCTAGGATTAAAGGCGTGTGCCACCACACCCTGCCACCATATATAAATCTTTTTTTAAAAAATTGATCTTGGAGAGATGGCTCAGCAATTAAGAGCACTGGCTGTTCTCAAAGAAGAACTGGGTTCGAATCCCAGCACCCACATGGTGGCTAACAACTGTCCATAACTCCAGTTCCAGGGATCCAACACCCTCTTCCGTCCTCTGTGGACACTTACTTGGGTGCACTTATAAACATGCAGGTATAACCTTCATGTACATAAAGATAAATAATTTTTTTTTTAATTGGATCTTAGTCTGGCAAGACGGCTCAGTTAGGTTAAGAGCACTTGCTGCTCTTGTAGAGGACAAGGGAGGCTGAGGCAGGCAGATCTCTGTGAG